CCACCTTGGTGGCAGTGGCCGAGAGCCGCGGCCGCAGCGGGTGGATGATAGCCATGTACCTGAAAGGTGGGAAAAGGAGAAATCAAGGCTGGAAAACCTCAACGTTGCATCTTTTGGGGCTGGTTTAGACCTCCCTTGTGTGGGGGTTGTACTTTGACACCCCCTCAATGCATGAACCTCAAGCCAGGTTGGATGAGGCCTTGAGCAACCTGGTCTAGTGGGAGTTGTCCCTGTTCATGGCAGAGGGACTAGATATCTGTAAGGTCCATTCCAACCCCTAAAATTCTTTGCTTCTGGGAGCTCCCTCAGGAAAACAGCACTGGATAATGCCTTTATGGAAGATTCTCCAACATTTTACCCTCAAGGTTGAATCCTCTTTGAAACAATAATTGGTTCTTAGCTGAGAAACACCTTCACTAGCACAACCAGCTGCTTCTGCAAAGACCAGTTTGACCAGAACCAGCCACACAAAATCCTCTCTCTCTGGTAGATTCCACTGCCAAGAGTTACAGGAGTAGAACCAAAACTAAGAGCACTGGACCAGTGTGGGATGGTGATGTGAGACACCACCAACTCGTGGGCTCTTTCCTGGAACATCAGTCATCGGAGGCGAGGAAAGCTCCAGTGGTGATGAGGCAGATTGAATTTATCCCTCCTTAAATCTGATTTTGCAACACTGTCAGCAGCCAACAGCCCTGGAAGGATGAAGTGAGAACGTGGCAGATTTTTTTATCCCCCCCTGCTCCACGTCAGGCTTGGGGAAGAGGAGGAACTTTGCGTCACTCCCTGTGTGTCATCGCCCGCAGCGTCTGCAGCCTCTGTTCTCCCTCCATCACTTCTCCTTTCAGACAAGGAGCAGTTTTGCCTTGTAATTTCTTCCTAAGTAGAAAATCCTCCCCATGGTGCATTTTCTGGGGGTCACTTGCAGTGGCAGAGACATGAGGATTAATATCTAGACACACAGGAGGTGCTGCCGACCGTGTTTCCTCAGCCTCAGGGGCCCAAACCTTATCACCCTAGTGCAGGCGAAAATCCAGTTAATCCACCTGATAATTATCTCTGGAAAATCTCTCTGGTACTCGGTTGGAAAGAGCTGAGGCAATGGGTGTTAGTGCTGCTCTGGCACAGCCTCTGGTGATGCATCAAGGTTTCCTGCACTCTACATCCATGTGTTTAATTTTCCCCTTGTCGGACTGTGATCGACTTCCAGGACCCTGCAAGGACTTATCTCCTTCCTCTTCCTCATCCTTCCAACTCCTGATGTTGGCTGTGCCCCCCATAGTGGGTTTGCTGAGCTGGATGAGGTTTGGGTGGGTTTTTGGTGGTGTTCAGAGCAGGTCACCCCACCTTTATGCTCCTGAGCAGCAAGAAGTCCTCCTGCCTGAGTTTGCTGTTGCTGCTCAACCCAATGGTTCAAGCTCAAGCAAGAAAACAATGGAAAATAAGGAATCTCCATGAAAGTTGGGCCTTTTCTGTTGGAATACTTGCTTGGACAAACATCTGAGGCTGAGACCTCTGGAAGGCAAAGTCAGTGCTTGAGTGCAATCAGCCAGAAATGCTTTTACATCTCCAGCCCTGGTCCTGCCAGCACATTTTGGAGCACTTTCCCCATCAGCTGAAATCACTTTGCAGCTGCACAAGCCCTTGGTGTTGATAAAAGGTCCAACTAATCATCTAGAGACTTTCCCACCACCACTACCATGTGCAGCTCTGTCTTGTGGTGGAAAGGAAGAGACAAAACTCCTCCGACCTCGCAAGGATGGGCCCAGGGAGCAGGAGGAAGTGATCTAGTGGCACTTTGGTGAAAATTTGCCCTAAATCCTATTTTTCAGCAGAGATTCCCAATCCCAGCTGGGATTTGGGAATCCTAATTCCCATACCAAGTGATCTCTGAAATCTTCCCTATGGGATGCTTTGGGTTCAGCTTCCCATCAGGATTAAAAATGGGAATAATAATAGTTCTCCCAGACAGGGAAGGAAAAAAATATACTCCAAAGGGTCTGGGCTGCTGGAGGAGTTGCTATTACAGCCCATAAAAATGCTGGAGATCGATGGAAATGCACAAACATCCTGAAAATAATTCGACCATTATTTCCTATTACAAAATCGTATAATTGTATAATAATTGTATCACTAAAGAAAATTGTCCTAACATTTTTATAGCCATTTTTCCCCTTATTTTTTCCTCTTTCTTTTTTTTCCCCCTCTCCTCTACAAGAACATTTGATGCAAAATGAAACCAGGGAGAGGAGGAGACCAGTGAATCTGGTTTGTGGCCACCAGAGCTTGGATAGCAACTGCCTCCTGCTTCCTTTGGGCTTGAAAAGCACCATTTTAGGGAGAAAAGCATCTTCTTTTCCCTTCTTCCAGCTCTGGGTCCATCACATATCTCTCATTTCCTCGCAGACCACTTGGACTTCCCACATTTCCCTATCTAGTTGATTTGTGTGTATTCCTGTCTCTGAATTTGGGGGTTTTGAGGGATTTTTTTGGCCCCTACTGGATCTTTTGTTGCCTCCAGAACACAGGGCCCAAACCCTCAGTTGGATTTCTTGCAGATCTTCAAGCTCCATCCCAAACCCTAAAACTCTCTGACTCTGATTCTGTGATCTCCCAGGTGAGGCTGAGGTAGGTGCTGCAGCCAAACCTCCATCAATCACTTCTTAGCAGGGAAGAAAACATGTCAATCATGCCTTTGCCTTTCAGCAAAAAAAAAAAACCTTCCCCATCTATTTGTGCTTTATTAATACCAATGAGTTTGCATTTAAATGGAGATGCAGAGCACAGGATGTTGCTGCAGAGTCCTGGTGTGTCTGCAAGGCCACACTAGGGAGAGTCCCAGAGAACTGGCTCTTGGCTGAGGATTTAAGGGCAGATTTCCTGTGTTAGGGAAGGGTTTATTCCCCACACAGGCAATGCATGGGGGCAGCACCAGGAATGAGACTGTTTGTTGCGGAAGATGTTGGCTTGGGGAGATTTCATAGAGCCACGGAATGATTTGGATTGGAAGAGACCTTAAAGGTCAACTCCTTCCAGCAGATCATCTAGTTCTAGCTAGATTTAATGATGTCTGTTCATCTAAGTGAAACAATCTGCTCTTGCTCTGCTTTTGGGTGGCAACACCACGTTTGGGTGCAGATCCTGGTTCAAGGAATTCTCAGCTCCTTGGTTCAAGGATTCTCAGTGGCTTGGTTCAAAGATTCCCAGCTCCTTGGTTCAAGGATTCTCATCTCCTTGGTTCAGGGGTTCCCTGCTGCCCATCCAACTTCTCCTCCTTGCACCTTCCCCACCACATTTGATGCTTTACACCCACCATGGTTAATGATGTTGGCACTGAACCAGACAGAATTTCACCAGACTCTCTTCCCTGACGTTGGCAATGCTCTTTGCTGGTGTTTAAATATTTCATTGTGTTTTGGGGGGGGTTACCATGACAATACAGGAGCAGTTGAGGCTGATGTGGTACCAGAGTAGCTCCGAGCATATCAGTGATTAAATAGATATTGCATTCGTAGCAGTGTAGCCATCTATAAATGACATCTGGAAATCTGGAGTCTGCCTGGATAACTAACATTGCACAGTTGTTTTCACCCTGATGGAGAGGAGATTAATATGGTAGCAAAAAAAATTAGGAAGCCTCTTTCAACCCAGAACTTCAGGACAAGAGGGCACAGACTCAAGCTCTCAGGGGAGGATTAGGTTGGATATCACAAAGAGATTTTTTACAGAGGGAGTGATCAGGCATTGGAATGTGCTGCCCAGGGAGGTGGTGGATTCACCATCCCTGGAGGTTTTTAGGATGAGACTGGATGTGGCACTTAGGGCCATGGTCTAGTCACCATGGTAGGGTTGGACTGGATGATCATTCCAAATGACATCCAGCAGAGCAGGATTCCTCAGCATTGGGCACAGATCAAAGTCCTGCTCTGCAAACCCCAAAAGCCCTTGAAGTCAAGATTAAACCACCCCAACCTGGTGCTTCGTTAGGCTGTAAATGACTAATTAATCTGTCTGTGCACTGAAGGAATTTAGCCTCTCTGCAGAGTTCCCTTTGGAGCAATCACCTCTCAGGGAAGGCTGAGCTGGAAAATATCTTCCTGATATTCAACTGATTTGTCCAGCCTGGGAGTTAAACTTCCAAGCAGTAAAGCATTTTCCAAGCTGATATTTTTCTGCTGCAAATAATATGGGACTGGGGAGATAGGAACAGGTCTTGGCTGCAGGCTGGTAATTTTAGGAGCTGTGGAGTTTGGCAGGTTTGATGTTCCTCCTGCAGCTCCTGTGAGCAAATTGATGGATCTTAGGACACCTAATAGAATTTAACAACCCAATTTGAAATAAGGGAATGTATGCATAAAATACAGTATATCTGTGTTAAATAAATGAGATCCCAGTTGGATCCCAGTTGGATCCCTCTGGGCTGGTGCTGGCAGAGGTAGGAGAGGGAGGTCTTTTAATGAGCGAGTTGGTCTCAGAGTTGCAGGAGGTTATTCCCACCATAGATCATTTTTACAGCTCCTTTAAAGCAGAAGATGCTCTGCAGAAAAAAGGGAAATTGCTTTGTACTAAACATCCGAGTGCTGTGATCGCTCCCAGTTCATGGCTCTGCCCTCTCCTCCCTGTTTGCTCACTCTGGGTGAGCTCAGCTCTGCTCACTTCGAGCTGTGAGGTCAGGGATGATTTTTTGGTCTGATTCTCCCCCTTGGGCTGCATCCCTGATTGTGCATCGTCGTGGAAACTCCTTCCTCCCACAGGAGTTTGCAGGTGATGCTCAGAAATGAATCCCAGGAGAGAAAGTGTCAAGTTTACCTGATGCTGCTCCATAGATATCACAAGTTAGTGATGGCCAGAATTGGGATTTGGTTCTAAGTGTGGCTGAAAACCAGCTTGGACTCACCGTGGGCAGTGCTGGGTGCTCACTTTTCCTGGAAGATTTGGGGGAAAACAATGGATTTTCTGTCTCTTTTTCAAGGACACCAATTGACAGGGAGAGCTGGAAGCTGGAAGGGGCTAAGGGATGTGTTCTGGCACTGACAACAAAGGCTGTGGCAGATTTTAGAGTGCCAGAGTGAGCTGCAAACCCTCATGTTTGCAGGATGCTGCAAGGCACCACCATGGCTCTTCCTGAGCCGACGTTCTGCCAGCCTTGACTCCTGGATTTCCTGCAATTGTTGCTATGTTGGGAATAACTTGTTGTTTTCAGTGATTGTACCCAGGCTGACACACGTCCTGGCAAAGGATCTGATGGTTTAGCTTTATGCAAACCTTTTTTTGCCCTTGCACAAACCCATAGTGGGTCCTACAAGAAAAAAAAAAGCCATTGGGAGAATTTGTTGCTCTGAGAAATTGTGGCTGCTCCATCCCTGGAAATGTTCCAGGCCAGGTTGGACAGGGCTTGGAGAAACCTGGTGGAAAATGTCCCTGCCCATGGGAGGGGTGGGATGAGCTGAGCTTTTAGCCCCTTCTAACCCAAACCATTCTGGGATTCTGACTCCATCCACTTCCCCACTTGTTCTCACCAGCTCTGTTCTGGCTGTGCTGAGTTTTTCCAAGGTTCTTTGGTATCCTCTGGCAAAGACATTCTAGAAATTGCTTGCAGAAGGCAGAGGGGGAGATGATTTAGGGGAACAAGCTGCAGCCTGACAGTGCTCTGAGCCTCCAATCTCTCTGCTAGACACCCTAACACACTTTGGGAACACGAGGCACATTCCATTCTGCTTCCCTGATTGTGATGAAAATCAGGACCTGCTTCATTTCCAACACATCCTGCCTGGGACTCCAACCCTTTGCTGAGCCTACCTGGCTCTGCTGCTCCCAGTCCAGGTTCTTTGCTTGTTCCCACGCAGCTTTTTGCTGCTTGCCAGGAGGAATTCTTCCCTTTTAGGTTCCTGGAACAAGTTCCTGCTTTTCATACACTTAAGTTACTATTCTCAGGTCTCAGACACAGGAAAACAAGCAATTTTCCAGTGCTTGGAGATGTCATTGTGTGCTGTTTGGCTGAAGGGAGAGAGAGAATGGGCTTTGCTGCCTTTTCTTTCTCAATTTCCCACGTTGCTGGATATTTGGGGCTAGGGAATGCAGCAGGTGGCTCTATGCACACAAAGGCTGCAGCTTCTTTCAGGTCCTTCTTGCTGGGTGAGCTAAGCCTGAGGTTTGCAGCCCAATCATGGGAACACCAAGCCTTGGGCAAGGGTTTGCAGATGCAAGAAGAAAGCTGGAAATACCAATTCCTTCCAAAAATTCTGCTCCAGGCTCCCAGCCCTGCCTTTGCTCCTTGTTTAACACTTGCTCTTCCACCTTCCCTCGGTAGATTTGCTCTCCTAGTTATTCCAGGGTGTGAAACAAAGGCTGAAAACTAAGCTATGTCATGTCTCTAATTCATCCCAACCTGGAAGGAGCTTTGCCAGCTGATCCCAAACACCCTGAGAACGCAGATGCTCCTGAAGCAAGGAACACCAGAGCAGAGCTCTTCTTGTAGCATCCCTGCCTTTATTGATCACTGTCTCCATTCTCCAGCAGGAGAGCTTGGCTATGTCCATGTTATTTTCAGGAGAAGGTTTTGTAACCACTCCAGAGCACAACAAAACCTGAGCCTGTTTGTACCAACGAGACAGCATCATCCATCTCCAGCTCTGCTTCCCGAGCTGTCAGTGCCCGAGTTGTGGCAGCACTGTCATTCCTCGGAGGGAATATCGGTGCCAGTTTGTGCAGCACTGAGGCAGCAGCTCATAATGTGCTGGCAGAAGGCAAGACAAACCTCCTCCCCCCTCACACGGATCCCCAGCCAAAATGTCTTTTACTCCCTGGGAAGAAGGACCAAAAAGAGGCATTGCAGAGCTGAGCTGGCTCTGGGAATATGTTGCATTGGCAAAAAAAAATCTGTTGCGCTCGAAACGCTGATACATTCTGGAGGGAATTGCAAAGCTGTTTGAGAGCCTCAGTTTATCACTGGTGCTGGTGTGAAAATGCCACGGAACAAAGATTCCATGGGGAGGGACAGACGGGAGAGGAGCTGTGTGCTGGAGGTGCTTGGGGTGAGGCTGTTCTGTGTCCCTCCAGCCCTGGCACGTCCTGTGTGGTGACAACGGCAGTGTCCCCTGTGTCCCTGCACCCTGCCAAGTGCCAGCTGAACTTCTGGTTGTGGCACGAGGTGAGCAGGACCTGGAGGAGCCAGGCAGAGTGAAACCAACTCAGCTGTGCTGGCTGCAGCCAAACAGAGGAATCCCTGGCACCTGCCTCTCCCTTTGACCCCCACTGGTGAAACCGAGGGGAGTTTGGCTGGGGACACACATCCTCACCAAGTCAGGATGCTGTTCCTGAGCCTGAGCTTCTTTCCAGAGCACCTGAGACAGTTCCCAACCCGGATCAGGAGACACAAACCCACTCCGAGGCACATCTGGCACAGGCACCTATGGTGTGCCACGAGGTGATGCCATTTTGTGCTAAATATCCAGTTTGCTCTTAGCTGAGGAGGTTGGGAAGGGAGTGGACAGCTCTGCAGAGGAGCTGGGAAGGGAGAGGATGCTACAAATGCACCCCCGAGATGCTACCAACACACACAGGAGCTACAAAGCCTTTTCCTGAGCTCCTTTCACAGAGCTGACAAAGGATTCTCAAAGCCACCTGCAGCCAGAGTGGGGAGAGGGATTCATTTTAGCCCTCTGTTACCAAAATGAGCTTTAATTGCAACGTTCTCCCTTGACTGGAGATCCCCCAGAGCTGGGCACAGCACCCAGACCTGGGTGCTGAGCAGGGTTTGGGGTTTGATGCTCAGAACTCACCTGTCCAGGGCGATGGCTGTCATGGAATAGATGCTGGCAAAGACAGCAGCGATGGGAAAGAAGTTGTGGAACTTGCAGTAGAGCAGCCCATAGTACCACTCGTTGTGGATGGCGTAGGTGAAGTTCACCACGGTGTTGAAGGCAGACATGGAGGCTTCAGCAAAGGCCAAGTTCACCAAGAAGTAGTTGGTGACCGTGCGCATCCTCTTGTGAGCCAGGATGATCCACATCACCACCACGTTCCCCACCACGGACACCACCACGATGAGGGCATAGGCAGCAGCCCAAAGGGCAACCTGCCACGGGGGCTGCACGAACTGGTTGATGAAGGACTCGTTCAGGGAGGTGTTGAGCTGCCCCTCGTGCTCCAGAGTTGCTTCCGGCGGCAGAACGTTATCCATCGCGCCCTGACGCAGCGAGACTGGGCACAGGGATGCTCTGAGGTGCAGATCCCTCCCAGTTTAGAGCACACTGCTTTAGGGTGCAGGTCCCTCCTGGTTCAGTGGGCAGCCTTTTTGGGGGGCATGGCTGGGTCAGGGCATAGGTGCCTCCAAATTCAGGTGGAACTGGTTTGGGGGCAAGGCTGGTTCAGGGTGTAGGTGTCTCCTGGTTCAGGGTGCAGTTGGTTCGGGGTGCAGGTTCCTCCTGTCTCTGGGTGCAGCTGGAATAGGGTGCCCAGCCATGCCAAGGCACCACTGGTTTGGGGTGCAGGTCCCTCCTGGTTTGGGCACAGCTGGACTGGGGTGCACAGCTGGTTTGGGGTGCAGGTCCCTCTGGGCTTGGCTGCAGCTTCACTGTGGTGCAGATTCCTCCTGATCCAGGGCACAACCGGTTTGGGATGTAGATTCCTCCCAGTTCAGGACCAGAGCAGGATGCAGGTCCCTTCCTGTTCAGCACTGGAGTGGGATGCAGGTGGCTCCTGGCTCGGGACTGAAGCAGGATGCGAGTTCTCCCTGGTTCGGGATGCAGCCGGGTTAGACTGCAAATCCCTCTCGGTTCAGGATGCTGTCGGATCAGGTATGCAGATCCCTCTCAGTTAGGGATGCAGCCGGTTCAGGGATACAGATCCCTCTCGGTTAGGGATGCAGC